GCTTGAATTGAGTCTATCGTTTGTTTTTGTACTTTTGGTTTTCTTTTGTGGATTGTCTTTTGTGTGGCCATCTGGGCCAACTCTGATCCCTAACGCACAGTGTGCTAGTGTGTTCTTGTTATTCCCTTCGTGCAGAATTGTCCGTTCGTTCCATATGTTCCCCGGTGACTGGTCCACTTCCAGTCTCCCGCACTATTTCAATCCGGTAACATCGTTCCCCTTATCTCTCCCTACGCTCCATTGAGGGCAATGTCGTGCTTAAGTGTGGGGGGTGCTTTGTATCGGTTGGAATCTATATACGTGTGCTTGGAGCCTAGTCCGCTGTCCAAATCTAGAGATTTGAGGGCTCCAAGTATGGTTGTTTGATCATATTGGCACTGTGTTTTGATTGGTGAATTGAATGGTTTTCGAATTAATGCATGACAACTGGATTGTGACTAGGACGACCTATAATGATGACTGAGACGTGCGGTAGATTTGTATAGGGGTTCAATTTTTCAACTGTTTGCTTACCAACTGTGACTTGGATGGATCACTTTTTCTTGACATTCGTTTATGCATCTAGTTCAAGGGATCAGAATGAGAGATAGCGCATATAGGTAGCCATGTGAGATTTGAGCCTGCTCGTTTCTTTCTTGTGCGATAGTTCCCTCTTCCATGATGTGTAGCATTCACGTTATCATTAGCTAAGATGATGGAGGCATAGGATTAGCCCACAACCAAATTGACTGTCCTGGTGTGTCATACCCCCTAGTCAGCCCCTTTGAGCCATGTCGCAACCTTTCTTTCGGTCTACAATGAAAAATCACCCTTTTGCATCTCTTAGAAGGTTCCACAGAGTGGTTTTTACATGTTCTCTGCTGTTTCTGCTAAATATAATGTGAGAGTTGGAGGTAGTTCTTAAAAAGTTGGGCATGTGTTTGAAAAATGTGAATAGGTGGTGGTTCTCTCAAGAAAGGAAAAAAAAGAGGGAAGAAAAAAGAAAGATTGAAAGCAAAAGAGAGCCACCACCAAAAATCTGAATAGTGCCCATTAAGTAGTGTTTCTTAGCAGTCTGGCTTGGAAATACTAACATTTATGTGACCTCCTTCGCTCTTGTGCTCTAGAGAATCTGAGTAATGCAGAATGGCAGAAAGAAAGTAAGTGGTTTGAATGGTTGTAAATGTGTTGGGTTTGGAATTATGGAACCTTGTTTTATTAATACTTCCACCACCTAAAAGGCCTTTTCCCCATGTCCAAGACCCTAGCCAGTTATCTGAACCTATGTCTAAGACCTCTGGATTAGTTAGTGGTGACATCCCTTATGTGAACTCTAAAATTTAGAGGCTGCCATCATGGTGAAGAAACGTTTGGGATTGAGAGAATAAGCATGCGCATTTTCACATCAAATTGTCCTGACCCCACTGGTCGAGAGTGAGCTATTCATTTTCTCATATTCTCTACACTCTTGTACCCCGGTGAGGACCTAGATTGCTCGATCTCTATTCTGATATCTTGAGTTTTGTGCATGAGGTGACTGTCTTGATTAAGTGGTTGAGTCAAGCCTATGTTGGTTGATGAACAGAAGGGAGACTCCTCCTTTACACAATTTTGCTGCACTCAAATGTCCTCTGTGGTGGTTGTCCAGGTTGCTATTGAATTTGTTCATGTGTTGATGTTTGAAAGCCAGTATGATTCACGTGTTCTGTGCCTATATGATTTGTCCCCAATGTTGGTATGATTGAAATATGTGAGCTTACCTTGTGACTGACTTGGTTTGCTTGGGGACAGGCAAACGGTTAAGTGTGGGGGAGTTTGATAGACCGTTAATTACACATGTTTTTACCCCTATTCTTGAGCCGTTCGAGATGTTGATTCTCGTGCTTTAGGCCGATTTCACGCTAGGTTGTTCTTGTTTGTGATATTTCAGGTCCTAGTACGTGAATGAAGGTTTGGGAGCGAGTTCGAGGTCGATTGGACGAAGATCGGACGTGTGGCGAGACGCTGAGGAAGCCACACGGGCACTCATAAAACCCACACAGTCGTGTACTGAACCCATGTGGCCGTGTGGGATTTACTGAGGCTTCACACGGGCATACTGGAGATTCCACACGGTCGTGTGTCCCTGGCCGTGTAGGTAGCCTGAAGACCTCTTAATTGAAACACCGGGTTTTGACACTCTCACGGGCAGCTGGGTAAGCCACACGGTAGTGTGGCCTGCCCGTGTGAGTCGGGAATTTTGGGTTTTAACCCAATCTCGAGCCACAAGTGAGGGGATCAACTTTTCAGAGCAAAATCAGAGTTTTAGAGAGAGAAAGGGCGAAGAACAAACCCTAGGAGCTATTTGGAGTGGATTTCTCACCATTGAAGCCCATATTGCGTCCCCGAGAGTGAAGATTGACATCTCAGAGCAGATTTTCCTCATCTTTATGAATATGACTACTCTGATTTCTATTGTCCTCTCTCTATGGAGTAGAACCCTCGCTCACTTGGGTATGGACAACCCTAGTTCCATGTGTTAGGGATCATGATTGTCATGACTTGGGATTGTTGTATTGTTTGGTTTTAATCGAATGATGCATGATGCATTGAATTAATTGAAGTCTGATCAGCTTTTCTTGATTTCTGCTGCAACCTGAGATAGATAGAATCTGATTAGGTTGTTAGAGCTTCATCATCGGTAGTAGTAGATTGGCAATACGAGTGTTAGTCAGTCTACTGCTTTGTACTGGAATCCAATTCCAGTAGTGGAGTTTTGTGCTTATTGCTTCAGCTTTCTATCCCGGTGAAGACTAGTCGCCTGCCGGGTAGTTAGACTGAGAGGGCTTGGTCAGCTTAAGAGATTTCAAGCTACTGTCGGATCTTCCGCAGTTTAATCAACAGTAAATCAACCTAGGGTAATTACAACTGAGACCTAACTAAGGAGCTAGGGGGACTCATTCCCGAGTGACTCTTCCTTTGCTTTAGAAAACCAAATCATTTCCTGCTTTCTTACTGCTTTTAGTTAAAACAACAATCAATCGACTTAGTTTGCTAGATAACAGATATACGCGGAGTAGGCAGTAGATCTAGACCCCGGGTTGATATTTAGAACTTTCCACTTTACTGCATTCCTGGACTGCGATTACACTTAGTCGCAGTTTGGTGTTGTGTTTTAGCGTGTCAGAAACCATAGTTCCAAGTGGAAAAACCAAAAAGAAACAAAAGAAAAACAAACCGTGCTGGGTTGCCTCCCCACAAGCGTTTCTTTTACGTCGTTAGCTGGACGCAGAGGTTGGATGCTGAGAGTGGTGTAGGAACATGTGCTTCCAAGAGCGGATCCACATCGCTCTTGAGGTACAGCTTTAGATGGTGGCCATGCACACGACGGATGTGACCACCTGTACTTGTCAACTCGACCTGGCCATCCGGCAGGATGCAAGCGCGTGAATACTCGGATGGCCAGGGCAGTCATGGCTCAGGAGACGGTGCCAGCTCATAGTGGTCTCCAACTTTCTTTTGAGCAGTCTTAGTACCTGCAGTTTCGGCCGCCACTCCTCCTTGATCTTTTCTTTTGGTAACAAGACAGACGAGAGTAGCGGCGAAGGAATGAGAGGAGAATCCTGCAAAATGGGAGGCACAAAAGGATACACGACAACTCGTGCACCTGGTGAGAGACAGCATGCAAACGCGATAAAAAGCAGGTATATTATTAGCAATGGAAAATGTTATCTGCTCCTTGCCATCTCTCAATACTAATGCCCCATCATGCACATCTATGAGAGCCTTTGCGGTGGCCAGGAAAAGCCTTCCTAGTATAAGGGACACTTCTTCGTCTTCATTGACGTCCAAGACAACAAAATCCATAGGATAAAAGAATCTGGCAACACTAACCAGGAGGTCTTCCACTATGCCCCTAGGATGAACTACAGATCGGTCAACTAATTGAATACTCATCCTAGTTGCACTGGGTTCACCTAGGCCTAGTTTCTTGAACAATTTAGATGGTATAACATTGATACTAACACCTAGATCAGCCAAGGAACTCTCTACATACAATTTACCAATAGTGCACAGGATAGTAAAACTACCTGGGCCCTCTACTTCGACGGAAGCTTGTTCTGCATAATGGCCGAGCACTCCTCGTTGAGCTCCACAGTGGCCAGCTCGCTCAGTTTCTACTTCTTCAAGAGAAGATCCTTTAGGAACTTCACATACTTAGGCATCTGAGATAGTGCCTCCATGAAGGGCACTTGAACATTCAGCTTCCTAAGCATGGACAGGAAATTGCCAAACTCTGCCTCAAGCTGTCCTTGTACATCCTGGTGGGAAAATGGAGCTTAGGCTTATATTCAGCCACTACCGGCTGTGGCTTTGGAGCTCGAGACTCTGGCTCCTTTTCCATCACTAGGTCCTCTTCCGGCTCTAGGGTGATCTGTGTCACCTTCTTGGCACTCTTCGGCGGTGCATCCTCAGTCAGAGTCCCACTTCTCAGCATGATGGCGTGCAACCCCTCATGATTTCTAGGATTCGGCGGGGGTTGGCAAGGAAGTGTGTCAGCCGATCTGGAAGCAAGGGCATCTGCCAGGTGCCCGATTTTGGTGTCCATATCCTGTAGGAGTGTCTGCTGGTTCCTCTAGCTAGCTTCAATCTCCATGAATTTGCCCACAACCACTTCCATGAATTGCTCCAATTTATTGAACTTCTGGGTTACTAGTGTTGGCCAAGGTGGTCATTAGTGTTGGCCAAGAGTGTTCGTGCAGATCTCTTGCAGAATTCATCACAGACAAAAATTCATTTTGCATGGTCGTGCGAAAATAAGGTCAGGCCGTGCAACTCGTCTGCTCTCCATTTCTCGTCCTGTCTTTGCCCAATCGACCTCAAACTTGTGCTCAAACCTTCATTCACACATTGAGACTTGAAATGTCATTAAGAAGAACAACCTAGCGTAAAATCAGCTTAAAACCCGAGATCCGAGCCTCAAACAGTATAAGAATGGTAGACAAAAACATGTATAAATATCAAGTCATCACCTTTCATCATTGGAGGAGAAAAAGGAGGTTAAAGGATCGATCAATGACAACCGTGTGGAGCAAGAAGAACTCACACCAGAGGGCTCCCTTGGTGAGGATGAACAGGAAGGTGGCGTTGACGACTCTCATCACTTTCCCCTTCTCGAGAGTAACTTTGAAGATCGAGTCATGAGTGTGGAGGAGCAAGAGAATCCTTTCTATGATCTTGCATGGCATCTTGGCCTCCAAACCGTGCTTGAGGACATGAATGGGAAGGAGAAGGAAGAGGAGGAAGTAAGCATTGAGGAAGGGGAAGATCTTGATTGTTCCCAAGGGACGGAACGAATTGAAGAAGAAGGAAGAGAGGTTGAAGATGAATTTGACGGAGCAAGTGGTGTCCAAGACGAGAATGAGGTCAGGGTGGATAAAGCATCCACAAGTTACAAGATGCTATGAAAGCTTTCCACCCTACCTCGATGCAATTTTGGAGAAGGACCCAATTGTGGCTCTTTGCCAATCCAAGGCCAAACCATTGGCTATCCCTCTTGGTGGATGCTATGGAAGCCAATTGAGTTTGCACTATATGGTATGGGGCAAAGAGAAGGAAGAAGGAGATGTCTTGTGGGTAGAGCCTCATGACAACTCAAGTCAACGAGCCCTCAATCATGGATTCGTCCAAAGCTTGTGACATGAGACACCACCTCACCAACGAGAACCTCAACTTCAAGGAGGTTCTTGGGTGGACCGAAACTTGAAGAGAAACCGTCTAGCTCACGACATTAAAGAAGCGCTTGTTGGGAGGCAACCCAACCACCATCACTTTGTTTCCTTTTGGCTTCAATAAGTCGACCTTCTGTTTTGTCGCCTCCTCGCTCTTCCGGATCTCCCCACCCTCCGCTCCCGAACACCAACATTCACCACTATCCGGTAACATCGTTCTACCTCCTTCTTTTACGCCATTGAGGGCAATGTCGAGCTTAAGTGTGGGGGGTAGTCCATTATGCATGTGTGTGTAAATGTTTGGTGTGATTTTACATGCTTGTAGCCTTGTTGTATGCCCAAATTTTTAAAATTTGAGGGCTCCAAGCATAGCAACTTCTACATTTGCATGACCGTAGTGGCACTTGTGTTGTTTTGTTTTACATCTCGTGGTTATTAGCATTGTCTATGGATGATTTGCTTGTTATTATGTGCAACCTATGATGATGATTGAGACATGTATTAGGTTTGTGCAGAGGTTCATTTCTCATATGTTTGTGAACCGATAAATTTTTTGAATCGATTACTTGATTTTCACAGTTGCATATGCATCGAGTTTAGGGAGTTAGAACGAATGATTGAGAACCTAGGTAGCCATGTGAGACTTGTGTCGTTCGTTTTGTTTTTGTGTGATAGATCCCCCTTTACATGATGTGTAGCATTCACGTTGTTGCTAGCAAGGAAGATGGAGGCATAGGATTAGTCCACGACCCAAATGTTGACCGACCCAATCATATCATCCCTTAGTCAACCCCTTTGAGCCGTTTGTCTAAGGATCACTCTCGTGTTAGGTAGCTCACGCTACTTGAGCTTGATTGATTTAGATAGAGTGACCCTACTTTCTAAGTGTCTACATCATTGTCGAGTCACCCTTGTGTTTGGAAGCTCCATTCATACCGTTTAACCTTAGATGAGGTTCCACATGAGTGATTTGTGTATGGTTTTGCTAAGAATGTGAAGTGAGTGTGGAGGTGGGCCCTGGGCGCCTGACTACATGTTATGCTAGACGAAACATGGGCACTTCAGTACGAAGCCCACAAACATGTGTATGCTAGTCTTGTGAACCAAGCGCCGGTCCAATTATGTGTGGGCTTATGCGTGGAATAGCATCAACCTTTAGTTTGGGACGTTGAGTAGGAGATGGAAGTGGTAAATGAATTGGATTCATTGATTGGTCAATTAGAATGATTGATCCATAGATCAAATAGATTGGTGATTTTATTGATTGTATTACATAAATTGGTGGATTGATCTATGGATCCAAAAGACATCCAAGGCTTAACCTAATATGTAAATTTTGAAAATTTTAGGTACTAAATTGTCATAATAAAAAAATGAGGTAAAAAATATAATTTTCCAAAGACATTTTTTGTATAAAAAATTTTAGGTACCAAAATATAAATATAAAATGTACAGTACTAAACCGTAATATGTCATTTGGATCCGTGGATCAATCCAATTGGATTTTGATTAAATAGATTTGATTAGTTTGATTTTTAAGTGGGTGGATTGGTGGCTCAACTGTAACTACACATCCCAATCGATGCACAAGTATAACCGACAAACAGGTGTAGCATAGGGTAAGCAAGCAATAAAAATATCAAACCACAGGTCTCCTAGATGTACCGTACTTCGGGTTAGGTTTCATTATCTAGCCAACCTAGAATAGTGATTAGGAAAACTACACTAACTAACCTAGATAATTACAAGTTGTGGAGTTCTCTTAGGTTTGATTCCCCCTAGTTCTATCATTTGGATCGATGTTGCGTACTATCCTAGCTCGATCGACTCACTAACCCACTGACTACCGTTAGGAGATTGACTCACTTAGGATTGACTCAGAACGGCCAAGTGATGGATGGGTAGTGCTCTATTCAACCTAAGACAACCCTATATCGTTAGGAGATCAATCGAATCAACTCCCTTAGGGATCACTAACTCGCACGAAACTGCACCACGAATTAACCCGACTAGAGCCCAAGTTTTTAAACTCTAGTCGGGTGCAGTATAGGGCTAGTATTTAAAATGTCAACCCAGGCAGGTCCAGACCAGGGAAGTAAATCGAGGAGAATTCTACTTGAGGGGACTTCACCTGGGTATTGCTCCACCTAGTCTCATGCTAAGAAGCGACAAACAGAGATATAGTGTGAAGGACATGCTCATACACCGCGAGATAGGCGCAACTAGCTAGGGACAAACTCCCTTAGTCGATCAATGAAGGAAAATCAACAAATATAAGCTAGGGGAACTAGCTCTCTTAACTGTTAGGTCAAGGATTGTGATTCATAGCTAGCTAGAGAGCTTAACCCTCTTTACCGATCAACCAAGGAAATCCCTAACTCTATTAGTTAGCTAATTGAGAGTCGTTGCAACAAGTTAGAAAGCTAACTCACTTAACCCTTCGGCTAAGGGTGACAATGATAGGCTAGAAAACATAACCCTCCCTCAATTAGCCGACTAAGAATTGCAACCCAAACCCTCGGAACTTAATCCGGTCGGTGAAGAGACCAATCCCGGTGGAATTACGGCCCTACTTCGATACCTGAAATTTTTCTCTTAAATCGACCTAAAGGAGGTTACCCAAGTGGCTAAGAAGTCTAGCTTCCTTTTGGACCAAAAGGGGATTTCCACCCTCTAGGTCAATTTTACCCAATATTGAGTTAAAGCTAGCACACTCAATCATTCATGAATAATACCTCAAATATCATATAAACATTCAGTCAACACAATAGGTTCATGTTCTTACATCCTACTACATAAAGAGACTAGGATTCACAATACCCAAGTGAGTAAGTAGGCTATTCCATAGCTAAACAAGAGAAAACAACAAAAGGGAAAGAAAGAACCATGAAGTGATGCCAATCTATCCTCCTTGTTGCTTGAGACACCATTGAGATGAAAAAATCTTCAATCCTCTAGTTAGGAACAAGCCCAAAGCTCCTTCTTCCTCCTTTGATTTGCACTTTCTCACTCTAGAAGAAACCCTAACCTCTCACCGAATCCTCTTTATTCTGAAAATGAAAACCTAACCTAAAATTGAAGCACCCCTTTCTTCTTCCTTTCAGCTCTCCATTTATACTGAGACCAAGCCCAAGTCACGGCCTTACAGTTCATGGCCGCGAACACCTAAACGCATCCGTGAACTCGGTGTCGTGGCCAAAACTAGGGTTGGGCAAACGGTTCGGTAAAACCGAACCGAAACCGAATTAAACCGAACCGAAACCGAATTAATGCTATTCGGTTTGGAATTCGGAAGGAAAATATGGATAGTTCGGAAACCAGGGTTCTTTCAACCGAACCGAATTTCTGAATTTCCGACCGAAAAACCGAAATACTATAATTGCAAGCTCCAAATGGTGGATTTTTATGTTTGTAGTTGTTTTTAGAGTTAACTATTTGAAATATTTTATGACTTATGTGTTGAAAAGTTTCATTTTATCATTGATGATGCATATAATTGATATTTATTATTTATATTAGGGGTGAAAATAATTTAAAAGTGAGAAAAAACAAGTAGCTACACAAATTCGGTTTTGGGTGAAAAACCGAACCGAATTATAATTCGGTTTAAACCGACCGAACCGAATTATAATTCTATTCGAATTCGGTTTGAGGTTTGAGAGAATTCGGGGACCCGGTATTCATAATTTCGGTTCGGTCGAAACCGAACCGACCGAATGCCCACCCCTGGCCAAAACGCCACACCCTGCTTCACTATTCTACTTTTCGTGTATTTATCATGGTCCATGAAACTGTACTGTACTGGCGGTTCAACCACAAAATACCAGTATCGGAGGCTAAACCGGTAGGCGGTATTTAACGGTACTAACCGTTGAACTACGGTTAAACCACGATTTTATCATAAAATACCCTACAACTGACTTTTCCGGTACGATCTCCGATATGGTTTCATGGATCAGTGTGTTTATATGGGTTTGGGTAACTCAGTCGGTTGGAATTTTTATGCTATTATATTATTATTATTATTATTATTGATTCAAAAAATATTTATTTTATATTTGGATTGGAAGTGCTACACTTGTCGAGCCCAAAATATCGGTGGCGGTGGGTCAGCATCTTAGTTTTGTTTCTTTCTCGTCCTAACGAGTCGTGCAAGCAACCGCCCAGATGAAAAACGCGAGCTTGAAATAGAAGTTCAAGCTGTTCCCACCCGATCCAGAATTCGTTTGATCGGTGCGGGGAAGCTTCTCGTTCATGAATTTGGTTGGTAAAGTTTCTAGCCTAACCTCACCTCATAAACCTTTTGAGCTGAATTCCAGTTGTTTTGTTTGAGTTTGTTGCCTCTGAAATTTTCTTTCTGGGTCTACTCTGGTTTGAGCTTCTTGCTGTTGACTTGGGGCATCTGGAGAACCTCAGAAGCTGGTAATTGCTTTAGATATACGTCAGTATGTGTATTTTGTGCATACAAGGCCGGTTTAATTTGGTGTCTGATGTAGAACGAGTGGTAATTGCATCTTTTTCCTATGAGAACTATCTCTCTCCCCCCTTATTCTTCTCCTTTAGCCTGCTTGGATACTCTTGTTGATCTGGGTCAACTAGTTCCATGTATTGTTCGCTTCTCACTTGATTTTGCTGATCACTGCAGGCATAAAATCTTTCTGAGCATGGAAGTTGTTCTCTATAGCACTACCCCTCGGTGTCATTCGGTAAACTTGAGGTGGCAACTGGTTCATGGATTCTCAAATTCATGCCAATCAGAGATTCATCCTTGTAGAAAGCCTAGAATTTCACTTCCTAAGCTGCATCAACGAAGTGTGTTTTCGACATCTTCTAATCAGTTTGTAGGACCCCAAGGTTATCACAGTGAAAAGGCTAGGTCACTCACTACTCTTGGCGGGTCAAACAAGGCTAATTCAGAACTTCTGAGTGGAAGAACCAGTAGTTATGTGGCTGGAGAGGATGAACTGGGTAGCATTTCAGCAAGTCAAGAATCAGTGGGTAAAGTCTTGATCCCGGGTTTGCCAGATGAACCTAATGGTGCTTCAATTAGTAGTTGCATTTGGGAATGGAAACCTAAACTGAATGTGCATTACGAGAGAGCTGGGTCTGAGAACCTGGAATCGCCCCAAGTGCTCTTTCTTCCCGGTTTTGGTGTGGGTTCCTTCCATTATGAGAAGCAATTGAAGGATTTGGGTCGCCAGTACAGGGTCTGGGCTCTTGATTTCCTGGGGCAGGGATTGTCACTGCCTGTAGAGAATCCCACGTCACTCTTGGGGGAAGATGACTCTTCTGAAACGAAGGATTCCATGTGGGGATTCGGAGATGAAGCTGAACCCTGGGCCAGTGAGCTTGTTTATTCTATAGATCTGTGGCGGGATCAGGTTCGCTATTTCGTGGAAGAGGTAATTTTGTACTTCTCATTGCTCATCCCAACCTGTGCCAACCAGTGGTTTCCCCTTTCTTTCTCATCTAATGCTGCTTAAGGATTATGGAATTGTTTCTGGAGATATGACGTACAATGTGATTCATACACGTGGAAACTCAATACTTCAACAGAGTCGCTCTATGGCTGCTGTTCCGCCAGATCCATTTTATATATTTCAGTCGAAGTACCCTTTGCTTATAATAATGTGGACCTTTAGTTACCTGTCCCTGGTCAATCTGTTTCAGGTAATTGGTGAACCTGTTTATGTTGTGGGAAACTCGTTAGGAGGATATGTTGCCCTATACTTTTCTGCAACACACCCTGAGTTGGTGAAGGGTGTGACATTGCTTAATGCTACTCCTTTTTGGGGATTCTTACCAAATCCTATTGCTTCTCCACGATTAGCAAGGGTGATTCCATGGTCTGGCACGTTTCCTCTGCCTGCAAGGGTGAAAAGGATTATGGAGTTCTTGTGAGTTTTCCAGTAATCCACAAATGTGATCATCGCCATCTCCACTTCTTATCAATCTATTAACTTCCTACCATCGAAAATTCTTGCAGATGGCAGAAAATAAGCGATCCAAGAAGTATTGCGGAGATACTTAAACAAGTTTATGCTGATCATTCAACTGATGTTGACAATGTATTTTCACATATCGTTAAGGTTACTGAACATCCTGCAGCTGCTGCGGCATTTACCTCGATTATGTTTGCTCCTCGGGGAGAATTATCCTTCATGGAGGCACTATATAGGTAGGTCTTGTGAAATGATAAATAAATTTGCTGCATTAAATAAATACAGACTTTTGTTCTCGGCATCGCCCTAGTTCTCGTGAATTGATCATGAACTTCTTTGTCCCTCCAGAAGCAGAATGAGTAATGTGCCCATCTGTCTAGTGTATGGAAGAGAAGATCCTTGGGTGAAGCCTATCTGGGGCCTTCTTGTGAAACGGCAGGTTCCTGAAGCTCCATACTATGAGATTACCCCAGCCGGCCACTGCCCACACGACGAAGTTCCTGAGGTATAGCATCCTGTTAGAACAACGGTTTCATCTCTGGTTTAATAGCAAGCAAATGTGCTACGAGACTTGCTGCTGTCCCTATCTTCAGATAGCATGCATGTGCAAGGGTTATGCATTGGGTTTGTTCTTAGTTCCCTCGTCTTCCTTTCCTATTATATGATTTGATTGCTGGTGTCCATAAGTGCAGGTTGTGAACTACTTACTACGGGGATGGATAAAGAACCTGGAATCAAGTGGATCATTTGCTTTGCCTCTGCTTGATGACGGACAAACTGTCCAGACCAACACTGCCAAACGATTGGAGTTTGCGAGAAAAGGATCAAAAAAATCGGTAACGGTGCAGTTTGTCGGCTCTGGGCTCACCTTCTGGGAACAAATGAAGTTTCATATAACATCTCGACTTGGGAAGTTGAAACTAATATAATGAGAGAAACCAGTTGTATTAATATAATTATGTCGATTATAGAATCATGTACGAAAAGAAAAATGTATAGATTGTAGACCCCCCGTTGCGACATTGACTCTATCAGACTATAGGAGTTAAACATTAGGTAATGTATATTTCAAATCTTTTTCAGATTTTTTTATATTATCCAAACATATTAAAATATTAAGAATTAGCCAATATTAACAGATCCAAATGAATCGATAATTCATTTCATTGATTTTTTATATTATCCAAACATATTAAAATACTAAGAATTAGCCAATATTAACAGATCCAAATGAATCGATAATTCATTTCATTGTAAAATGAATTATAATGTAGAATTCATTGTCGAATGCAATCTTGTGATATTTAAATCTTTAGAAATAAAATGAATTGTCGTGTAGAATTCATTGTCAAATGAATTTATGTGTTTGGTATATTATATGTATAAGTAATTTAGTAAACAAAAGAGGATAATTATATCATTCTATTATAATTAATTAATACTTGTGGAATTCATTTGGAAATTTCATCTCAATTCCCCGGAATTGCTATAACTAGTTTCAATTTCATAGAATTGAAATTTTAGAATTGAAAATGAATTCTCTTAAATACCAAACACAAAAATGTTTCATTTCAAAATGAATTTCTCAAAACTTATAGAATTCATTTATACCAAACGGTATGTAACTTTCCGTTAGTAATTTTGTTAGTAATATTGACTTGGAAGAGACACATGAATGTCAACATTCTATTAATAGCATTTTAATAGGTTTGGATAATATAAAAGAATCTGAAAAAGATTTGAATAAAAAATAGACATTACTCTAAATATTATGGCAAAGAAAAATTTGATTTAGCATGAAAAGAAAAGGAAAAATTTTGAACAAAAATATTATTTGCTTCGTCGATCCCAAAAAAAGAAATAAGTAAAGTTCTGTCATTGACCGATAAATGAGAAATTCCTGGAAAGTTACAATCCCCCTAGCACCCTTAAAACGTTACCTGTCCTACATATTATTGTACGCAAAGACTTAATTTTGTTTTTTGCGTTTCTATTAGATTTTGATCCGGTCCCGTTGGTCGGATTACTTAAAGTTGCCAACTTGTGAAACGGGAGACCGAGTTAGAGAAGGAGTGCATACATTTTCAAGAATTGTATGTTCTTTTTTTTCAATTTTGGAGAATTATATATTCAAAACGTAACATAGTATTATCATTATTATTATTTAAAAGTTAATTTAACTATACTACCAAATTCTAGACAAAATATAACACCTCGTTTTTTTAATTTAATATATACATGTCAACTACAATTGGCAAACCTTTAAACCAAAGTTTTATCGCTGGATAATGATTTCAACAACCGAAGTAGGGGTAGACGGACCGGCCCGGGTCAATATATAGATACTTGCCCAATACTACACCCGATTAGAGTTTAAAAACATGGGCTCTAATTGTAGTTTAATTGTAGTGTAGATTTGAGCTAGTCAAGTTTTTGGCCCCGTTGCCGGGGACTAACGGTTTGTTATTCTGAAAAAGTTGTTGGCTGTTAATCTAGCTTTTAATTTCAAGTGTTGCAAGTGTGTGTTCTTTGCTTGTGCTAGACTTGGTGTTTTCCGATTGTGTGTAGGAGGTGCATGACCCGGAGCAACCCGACGCCCTTACTACCACTTGATGAGGACATAAACCGGACTCTCTGACTCCTAGCAAGGGAGAGAGAGCTAGCCGAGACAAGGAGAAGGAGTGAAAGAGGGGGGACAACAATTGGGTCCCGATGTTAGTGGAGAAGTAGTTGAAGAAGTGTAAGTTGAGCCCGTCATTGAAGAGGAAAAGGCAAGATGGAGCCGCTCAAGCCCGTCATGTGAATGAGGAGGCAGGAGAAGAAGGAGCCCCGAGGACGATGGGGTACTACATGGCCCCAAGGCCGGCGGACATTCAATCGCCGATCCTACATCCTCCGGTGGCGGCAAACAATTTCGAGATCAAGCCGGCTCTGGTGACTATGATACAAAACAATGCTCTCTTCCACGGCCATGAGAGCGAGTCACCAAGAGAGCACGTGCAGAGATTCTTGGAGTTCGCGGGGAGCTTGAAGGTTAATGGTGTGTCGGCCAAGGCTTTTCAACTAAGGCTTTTCCCATACTCACTTTGGGGAAGGCACTTTGGTGGCTAAACAACCGCCCACCTCGATCTATCACCTCATGGGAAGACCTCCTCAACAAGTTTATTGCTCGGTATTGCCCACCTTCGAAGGCGGCGGAGTGGAGAAAGAAGATTACACATTTAGAGCAAGAAGAGGACGAAACCTTGAGGGATGCTTGGGAGAGGTACTCTGATTACTTTCTTCAGTGCCCCTACCACGGATTTGAGGAACATTTTCGGATTGAAACCTTTCACGGAGGGCTAATGCAAGAAAATAAGATCCTCATAGACTCCTTATGTCAAGGGAAGTTGATGAATATGGCTCTGCCCCAAATTACCGAGATCCTAGAAGACATGGCCCTTAGGGGATATGATTGGGGGTTGAATCGAAGTGGAAGAAGAAGCAATGAAAGGGGAGTGAGAAGCGTGGGAGCGAGTGCTCCGCTTGAGGAAAAGTTGGATAAGTTGCTTGAGGTTATGCTTGAAGATAAAAGGCAAGGAAAACGGGCAGTAATGTCGTGCGACTGGTGCTCGAGTACTAGCCACGAGATAGCGTAGTACCAAGCAATGAAGGAGGCATTGCCGAGAGACCCAAGGGGGCTTTACCTTTCCAAACCGTGGTGAACCCCAAGGATCAAGCCGGGGTGAATGCACTTCAAGTGAGGAGTGTAAAGGTGGTGCTGGAGGTCGCCACGAGAGAAGAAATAGAGAAGGAAGAGTCCAACAAGGAAGAGACCACCCCAAAAAGAAGAGAGAAGAAGAACTCAAGGAATGAGAGGAAGGCGGCAAGCAAGGCATTGCCGGAGGATGGATATGTGCCACCTCTTCCTTATCCCACAAGGAAGTACAAGGAGAGGTTGAACAACGAGTGTGGAGGTTTCATGGAAATGCTACGCAACCTCCACCTCAATGTCCCATTCCTCGAAGCCATGGCGCAAATGCCAAGATATGCCAAGTGCCTCAAAGGATTCCGCATCAAGAAGCCAAGGCTTGAAGGCCTCGCGAACGCGACTCTTGGCGAGGAGTGCTCGGCTTTCCTCCTCGACCGCTTGACCAAAAAGCGGTCCGACCCAGGTAGCTTTACTATCCCTCTTGATATTGTTGATCACCATATAGACAATGCCTTGGCAAACCTAGGAGCTAGTGTGAATGTGATGCCCTACAAGCTTATCAAAAAGTTAGAAGTAGGTGAACTTAAGACCTCTAAGCTTAGCATCACCTTAGCCGACCGTTCGGTTATTAGCTCGACAGGTATAGTGGAGGACATGATGGTGAGAGTGGGCAAGTTTTGCTATCCGACCGATTTCGTGATTCTCGACATAAGTGAGGACTCGGATATGCCCCTCATCCTCGGTCGTCCCTTTCTTGCAACCGCCAAGGCATTGATAGATGTTAATGAGGGAACCCTTATTTTGAGGGATGGTAAGGATAAAATCAAGCTTGAAATTGATCTTAGGGTGAGGAGTGATGAAGAGAAGGGGGTAGTCTCAAATGATGTGAATGGGAGTGGAGGAGAGCCTCCTAAGGCAAACCCCACCATTACTTGTGTTGTCTTTGATGATGTTGAGCAGGAAGTTAAGAAGGGTCCTAAGCCAAAAGGACCAAGATTGAATGCTTGGAGAAGAAGGATGAATGGATCTTTGACCCGGAAGACGGGGTAGCCCGGAGCAAGGTTGGCCAACCAAGAGGGCAACTGAATGAGCCTAAGATGCAAGGTGTTACAAGCCTTGCCCCGAGATTATGGCGGAGGGTTGTGTTGTGATCGATTAGGAGGCACGGAGGAATAGGTTGAGTCACATTTTTTGCAGAAGTGCCCTGATTTCACTTTAGTTCACGGACGGATTGTTGAGTTCACGGTCTCTAAGACCGTGAACAGGCAAACGCGTCCGTGAACTGGGCGCTGATGCATGTTCACCACCTGTCAAACACTCCGTGTTCACAAACGCATTCGCGAATTCACGATCGCGAAGACCGTGAACTGGGCAACGCGTCCGTGAACTCAGAGCTCTGCCTATAAAAGGGGCGTCAACGGCGACCCTTCACTTCACGACCAAAAACTCGCCGAAAATTTTTGATTTTTTTGTTGGAAAATGTGAAATTCCATCGCTTCCCGATTTCCCCCCCCCCCCCAAATCCGGCGAGCAAAACCAAAAACCAACGTCATACCCAGTCCCCTCTCCTCAAAACCGCCCTGTGCTGTGAATTTGGGGAGATTTGGACCACTTTTTCCGGCCAAGTCACCGGCGGCGAGTCTCCGGCGAACTTCCGACGAAGATCTAGCGAACCCTCTCCGTTCAAATTTCAGACCAGTTTTTCACCATCCTCGCCCCCACCTCACTTCCTACCTTGTCCTACTTGAGTCTCCAGGTTTGTGTTCAACTTTATCTTTGCGAATTGTGGAGAATCGGATTAGGTAGTGAAGTGAGGTTGAGTATTTGTGCTTCGCATAATTGAATCTAGTTAGGGCGAGGACTTAGGTGAATTAGGTCGTGTGATTGATGGATTGATTATTGCATGAGCTAAGTGAGCCTTGGTGGCCGTGTTTAACCGAATTGTGATTATTTTTAGAATTTGCCCACCAAGTGCTATGTTATGAATGCAAGTGGAGTATTTTTTATTGGTGGATGGTAGCCACCGTGGTAGGGGTTGTGGTTCCAATTTTTGTGTGCTTGAACCGTGAAATATCCATAACCATGCCACGATGGTTTGAGCTTAAATGTTTTAGCCATGGTGGAAAAACAAGTGGGGGGGGGGGGGGGGGAATTTCTTTTCCTCCCAATGACGGATGCTTCCACGTATGGTGTGTGTTTGTTTTTGGCGCAGGATGCTTAACTTGGAGCATGAGTTCATCAGTTATCTGGTGAACCACCCGGAATTTGGCGACAATTTCGCCTACCGGAGTGACAGCCCGATCGGGCCTCACTGGCGGCTGGACCTGCACATGTTTAACTTGTTCAGGTGCCGAGCCGCCATGATTGGGATACTCTCCCACCCTAGTGGTGCCATATCTTGACCATGGAAGAGGATATATTTCATGAGCTGTGTGTGAAGTTCTACTCCACCTTCTCCCAAATCGTCCCGGCCAGCAAGAAGAGCCGGCCCCAGGTGGTGTTCATGGTGGGCGGTCAGCCGCAGGTGCTGACCTATGATGGCTTCGCTCAGGCCATGGGGCTCGACACCGCTCACATGACGATGAC